ACAAAAATATTCACAACATTGAACAAGATTGTAATTGTTATCTCAGTGATCTAACAAAACTGTCAGTAAAAAGTAATTTAACTTTTGCAGAAGTTTCTGATGAGAATTATTGGAAAATTCCTTTTTAAAGGAATTGCTAATCTGTTAGATCAAATGAAATTGGAAGTCCCGATTTTGAAAGAGATAAACTGTCCCAAACAATTAACCACTTTTGCTGTTACTAGTTTTTATTTTGTATGACATATATATTTATCAATGTTTTGTAGTCTGAATTATGTGTTCGAAATAAACATATTATAATAATAATAAATCTCTTGTTTTGAATATTTTTGGTCCGTTGTTTTGCATACATTTTTGCATACATTTCCGTTCATGGTCAAAATTTGGCAAAGTTAGTTCTTAAGAACCAATTCATGGGAATTTCCTGGGAACTATTACCAAGATTTCTCAAGAATTAATCATATTGACGTATTCTCAGCATATTCCTGAGTAAATTCACTAACCAGGACTTAAGCCCCAATAGTAGTGAATAACTTAACAACTATATTTATTGACCCTCCAACTTTTTTTAAGTTAAACTTCTTAAGTCTTAACGTTATAGTCTTTTTTCATCTTATTGAAGTTATCATGTATTTTGTTTATTCAGACAACTGAAAAATTCCAGAGAAATTCTCGGAAATTTCTCGAGACTTTGTCTTTGATTCAGTTCCCCAAAAAATTCGTAAAATTGGTGACCAAGTCCTGAGAATTTCTAAGGAATTTCCGGAGAAATATTCGGGAAATATGCTTAGGAAAAATTCCAGAGAAATTCTTATGAATTTCCAGACAAATAATCTAGAAAATTTCTCAGGAATTTCTTGGGAAAAATTCCGGAGAAAATCTCAGGAATTTCTCGAAAGTAATTTTCAAAACTCTGATTCCTTAAAAATCTCTTAAATTGGGGACCAATTCCGGAGAATTTCTCAAGAATTTCCGAGGAATCAGTCACAAGTACTTGTTCTTGAGAAATTCCCCGGGTATTCCTTAAATCAAGTCACCAAAACTGGAGAACTTGGAGAAATTCCTCACTTTTGTTACCTGGGAACATCAAGTTTGAAACCAACTTAATACACAACAATATTTGAACCCATTGCCTAATTCCTCAAGCATACTGCATAAATGTTTTTTTTGCAAAAAACAATTCCTTATTTATTGGATTTTCATTGCCTTATGTTATAGATTCACCAAAAGTCATTACACGATTACACTAATTGAATATATTCGCAATGGTTAAACATAAAATTTAACTTATCTCATGCCATTTGCCTTTTTAGCGGAGTTTTCCGGAGTTCTCCTCAAAGGAATAGTAAAGTAACTTTATGCGTTTCTAATTTCAAGAATTTTTGAGAAGAATTCTTATATTGAACGGTGTCTGTTTTTTCTAATTATAACATTTTTATCAGTATTTTTGTTTACGGGTTTCAGTATTTTCCTTTCCTGTCCTTATCTGTCATTTCCTGCCATTTTCTGTTCCTTTCCTGCCCTTAGCTGTCCTTTCCTGTCCTTATCTGTCCTTTCCTGCCCTTATCTGTACTTTTCTGCCCTTATCTGTTCTTTTCTGCCCTTATCTGTCGTTTCCTGCCCTTTTCTGTTCCTTTCCTGTCCTTTCCTGCCCTTATATTTCCTTTCCGGTCTTTATCTGTCCTTTCCTGCCATTTTCTGTTACTTTCCCATCCTTATCTGTCCTTTCCTGCCCTTTTCTGCTACTTTCCTTTCCTTAACTGTTGTCATTTTCTTTCCCTATCTGTCATTTTCTTTTTCCTTTCTATCCTTTTCTATTCCTTGCGGCTCTTTTCTATTTCCTTTTCTATTACCCTTCTTAGCCTTTTCTCATCACTGTTAAACCTTTATACCTTTGCTTTTCTAATATCCTTCCTGTCTACATTATATTATACCCTTCCTAGCCTTTTCTCATCACTGTTAAACCTTTATACCTTAGCTTTTCTAATATCCTTCCTGTCTACATTATATTACCCTTCCTAGCCTTTTCTCATCACTGTTAAACCTTTATACCTTAGCTTTTCTAATATCCTTCCTGTCTACATTATATTACCCTTCCTAGCCTTTTCTCATCACTGTTTAACCTTTATACCTTTGCTATTATAATATTATATTGTATTGTACTGTATTGTATTGTATTGTATTGTACTGCATTGTTAAACCTTTATACCATTACTTGAGATGAACTAAATGTTTTCTAAACTTTGCTAAAGTTTAAAGGACAAATCATTTTTGTGTTACATTTGATCTACAACACTGTGCAACGAATGTAAGCCAGGAAAATGTTTTAGAGTCTTAGATAAATGTCAAGCAATATTATTTCACAAATTAATATATTTTATAAATGTTTTATTTTATTGAATTGTATTGCATTGTGTTTTATTGTATTGTATTGTAATGTATTGTATTGTATTGTATTGTATTGTATTGTATTGTATTGTATTGTATTGTATTGTATTGTATTGTATTGTATTGTATTGTATTGTATTGTGTTGTATTATATAATATTGTATATTGTACTAAACTGTATTGTTTTGTATTATCTTGTATTGAATTGTATTTCATTGTATTGTACTGTATTTTATTGTATTGTATTGTATTGTATTGTATTGTATTGTATTGTATTGTATTGAATTGTATTGTATTGTACTACATTGTATTGTATTGTATTGTATTGTATTGTATTGTATTGTATTGTATTGTATTGTAGTGTATTGTATTGTATTGTATTGTATTGTATTGTATTGTATTGTATTGTATTGTTTTGTACTGTATTGTATTGTATTTTATTGTATTGTATTGTACTGTATTGTATTGTATTGTACTGTATTGTATTGTATTTTATTGTATTGTACTGCACTGTATTGTATTGTATTGTACCGTATTGTATTGCATTGGATAGTACTGTATTGTATTTTACTGTATTGTAGTGTATTGTATTTTATTGTATTGTACTGTATTGTATTGAATAAAAATGCTGCACTATAAACGCTTGAGTTAAAAAGAAACTGAGGACTAGTTGACCGGCCCTTCAGAGAAAGATAGAGAAAGAAATTGTGCCCAAACAAACATACAAGCACTTCCCACTTACGGACACAAACCTGCTTATTCAGCTGAGAGTAGAACACTCGGTAGAAAAGAAGAGAAACGGTTCAGTTCTGGAAAAACTGCTATTTTGCGTATTTTCTGCTTAACATTTTACAATTGCGGAATTTGCTCCTGTATTTTTTTGTTAATATTTTTTTAATTAGTTTTTTTTCATTTGGTAAAGGTATTTCTTATTATTTAAAGAATACATTATTAGGTGTAAAAAGATATCCAATTATCTACATACACACTCATAAAAAAAAACACATTATAAAAAGACATAATTTACCCCTATTTCTTTACGAAACTTATTATATATTGAGTTTTGTAAGGTAAAATTACTTAAATAATTTAAAATTATTTATAACCTCCTAACTGAGATCATAATAATTTGGATTATATATTTTAGACATTACGTAAAAATGTGTTTTTTGTTAATACTGAAAATTATTATTATCTAATAATACGATTATCTATTAATATTTTTATCTATATGATGTTATTATGTATTAATATTATTATATTTAAAAGCTATTATCTATTAAACCTATCCCAATTGGGCTATTTTTGTCAAATATAGATAGAGAGGGGGACTTTTTCAGAATAATAATAAGGAAGATATCACGTCCTTTTCCTCTTTTTTAGAGAACCGCATTAGAAAATGGTCAATTTTTAGATTGAAAAACAGAAATATCTCCATTTCATTTGACTTGAACAAAAGGTTTAAACGTTTTAAACTCATTTTCCGCTCAATTTACCTTATGATTTTAAGACAGGGTTATATGATACATGTCTGCTCATTAAAAAATTAGACGAATAATTAAACAAACATTGTACAAAAAAAGGTGCTGATACAAATTAGAATAAGCAAACAGTAAATGGTTTGTTTATGAAGAATCAAGACACTGATCAGAATGCTCGGATGTCAAGACTACTGATCTGTTCAGCTTATCCAGGCACAATCATCTCGTTCCACCATGTATAGAGCGTTGGCCTGGATAAGGTTTAACAAGAACATGCTTGGATCTAAAGAGTGGCTTGGGTTTGGCATGCAGCTGAAGCTTGACTTTTGGCATGGCTTTATTTCCAACAGCTAGATCTTGCTTACAGCAAGGATAGTGGTTGTTATCCGCCCTACTACTAACACAGACTACAGACAAACAGGGTGTCTCTAAAAAAAGTGTTTAAGCTTTTGAGCCTACTAAATTATAGTTTAAATGTGCTAAAAAGTACCTATAGCAGGTACAAAGTAGATAAATAGAAGGGTCTTCAATAAAACTTTTTTTTTAAAACCCCGTGTTAACCTTTTAAAGCGGACATTATATTCGAAAATGTGCTATGTCTTCTTGAATTCTAGTTGATATCTTGATCTTTATTTTAGATCTTGGTTTTTAGAGGAGATCTTGGTTTCTATTCGATATTTTGGTTTCTAGTTGAGATCATGGTCTCTTGATTAGATCTTGGTTTCTTATTGATATCTTGGTCTCTCTTTGATATCTTAGTTTCTTGTTGATATCTTGGTCTCTTGTTGAGATCTTAGTTTCTAGTTGAGATATTGGTTTCTAGACGAGATAATATCTTGGTTTCTAGACGTGATAATATCTTGGTTTCTAGTTAAGATCTTGGTATCTAGTTGAGATCTCATGGTTTCTAGATTAAATCTTGGTTTCTAGTTGATATCTTGGTATCTAGTTGATATCTTGGTATCTAATTGATATCTTGGAATCTAGTTGAGATCTTGGTTTCTATATGAGATCTTGGTTTCTATATGAGATCTTGGTATCTTGTTGAGATCTTGGTATCTTGTTGAGATCTTGGTTTTTAGATAAGATCTTGGTATCTTGTTGAAATCTTGGTTTCTGGATGATATTATTGAAAGATCCGGGTTCAGATAGATCCTCTGGATGGATTTCTCTCTACACTCTCCTCTCATCATAGTGTCTTCTCAGTTCGGATTCAACAGGTAAGCCAATCTGTCCTACACGTGTGTATAACCTCTGTATAGAGGGGGGGAGGGGTTGCAGCCTGGTGTCATAAACATTTGATAGTTCTTAGTTTGAAATATCAAAGATTTACATCATCAATCAAGTTGCCAGGATTTTTTTGTGGAGAGAGCTCGATTTCTATAGATATCATTATTTGGTCATTCGGTCCCTTGAATAATCTTAACATATCAATTGAAAAAAGTCGAAGTTTAAAAAAATCAAATTGGAAATCGAAAGTCACAGCTTGTCGTGGAACATTCTGAACTTTTTTTCCGAAAAAATTGGAATCTTTCATTTTTATTTTGACAATCTCTAAATGCAATCTAAATGGTTTATCTTAAAAGTGTGGAAGTCGTTTTGCAGTTTTGAACCATAGATATAAAATGTGCATAAATAAATAAAATGTGCATTAAATTAGATCTTATAAAGGAAAATATATGTCAGAACAATTTCTACATCTTTAAGCTCTAATTCTCTTCAGATGAAAAAGAATACAATTCCCTAAATGTTTTTAAATATAAATTGAAATTTTTCTTTTTCATTTCTCTTTACATTAAAATTGATAAAGTAGCGTACTTCAAAACTTTTAATGTAATTGTTTTTTCTCTACTTTGTTTTGAGGACAATGTTTAATCCAACGTACTTTCATAGTTTTTTGAGACCTCCCTACCGGGGTGTAATATTTCAAAAAAGTTGGACTACTGACTTGTATCATATTTCAGTTTTAAGGGCATAATTATGTGGGGGGNGGGTATGAATGACATACGTAGAATCTATTTAATAATTGACTTTGGTTAATCAGTTTAACAAATATTTTACGAAACTTAATTTTTAAATTGGTTTTGATCTTAGGGAAGGTCGTCTTTCTGTATTTAATATTTTTTTACGAAATCAATTCAGGATTGCACAGTGTTAACAAAGTTTTTATAGAGTAACACTATTTATTAAGATCTGGCCAATTTTAAGATATTGCTTTGAGCCCAGGGAGTAAGGAACAGAAGGGAGATATAACTGACGCGGGTCGCCCTACCATATGATTATACATGCCTTGCAGACGGGTAAGAAACATTTGGCTGATGTACAATTACCGCGTATACGATAGCCTATTCTGAATATTTCTTATTCAAATGGAGTACCTGTCTGCAAAGCATGTATAATCATATGGTAGGGCGAACCGCGTCAGTTATATCTCCCTTCTATTTCTTACTCCCTGTTTGAGCCTTGTTGCTAGCTACAGTTTTAAAAGAGTACTTGGCTAAATTTAACAATATTTTTCTACGACAAATTCTTCATATTTTCACTTGATGGCCGATAGAATTCGAATAAAAGAATATAACTCATAAAATATACGATTTACTTGAAAGACCTAAACACACAAACTATAGTATTCTAATACTCACATATTTGCAACCTGATGTCGTAGAATATTGGGATCACTAATTATTTGATTGTTGACAGAGCAAACAGTTGAAGCGTGAAACTTAAAAAGTTTACAGTACATATTATAAGGTTGCAATGAAATATCGATTTAAAAAAAAGGTTCAGATTATTCAGTTCTTGGTTAATGTTACAAATAATATTCATTTGAGAAATTGGTTCTCTGTCTGTGTATGACAGCTTTTTACAAAGCTTGGTAAAAAATGATTATTAAAATCATCTAAAAATGATCATTTAAATCAAAAATGCCAGAAACTCACTTTATAAAGATGAAAGTTTTAGAAAACATGTTTTCATACAAAAGTGCAGTTTATAATCACTTTAAACAAAAATTTCTCTGTATTGGAATGTCGACGAAATTTCAAATGACTCAAAATTTTAGATGATTCACAACAGCACCCTCAAGCCCTTTTTCAGAATAATAATAAGGAAGATATCACGTCCTTTTCCTCTTTTTTAGAGAACCGCATTAGAAAATGGTCAATTTTTAGATTGAAAAACAGAAATATCTCCATTTCATTTGACTTGAACAAAAGGTTTAAACGTTTTAAACTCATTTTCCGCTCAATTTACACAGTCCCTTGAATTTACTCATTTTCCGCTCAATTTACGTGATCAGTCCCTTGAATTTACTCATTTTACCCTCAATTTACGTGAGCAGTCCCTAGAATTTACTCATTTTCCGCTCAATTTACGTGAGCAGTCCCTTGTATTTACTCATTTTCCGCTCAATTTGAAATTATTATACAACTTCCATATTTCAATGTAAAAGTTTCAGATAAAGTAAATACAGGGGTGGCTGGATCTTAGCTACCTCTCCGCGTGTATTAGCCTTAGTGTACACTCATGGGATAGTTTACTGATAAATGATATTAAGAGATTATGGCCTAATCATAATGTACAAACATCAAATATGCAGTACGCTTTCGGAGTACAAGTGTATGGGGAGGTTTTGTATCTTGAATTTTACTCAGTTTTCTCAGAGCAGTTTGTTAACGATGCACACTGTTCACCAGATTAACCGTCAGGTTGAACTTCTCCCCACTCTGGATTTTTTTGTCTAACTATCATCTAACATGCTAGTAGAAATAATTCTAGGTATTAAACAAATCCGAATCAAGTTTTAAAAGAGTAAAAATTGGTTAAAAAGTATAATTTAAAATTATCAATTCTTTCATCAAAAACAATGGAAAAAAGAAAAAACTCCGCAAAAAATGTGTGTGAAAATCCGCGAAATTCGCTTTTTGTACTGTCATTCTGTAATCATGAATAAGAATTTTAACAAGTCTACTTGCGCTGTTTGCTTTGAAGTTAAGGGAGAACACTCCAAAACTCTTAATAAGATAACAAAAGGAATAGAGGAGAAGATAGTAACTTTTATTTGGCCTGCCTACAACCTGGGGATTGGTGTTTGTCCATCAGTTATATGTTCAAACTGTCGAAGAAATCTGTTCTGTTTGGAGAAGGGCTCAACCGAATACTTATCAAAATGGATAGAAAAAGTATCAAAGGTATCTATTATCATAAATTTAGTATTAAATATACAGTCTAGATCATAGTTAGGTTAAGAATATGAAACTTTGAGACAAATATTTATCAAAAAGATGATTTTTTTTTTATTTTTGTATGGTCATGTAGATTGAAAGAGGAAGTATCAGGAGAACTTCAAAGCTTGATTTGATTGCTAATGTACCTGAATCTGAAGAAAAAGACTGCTTTAATCATAGAAGACTCTGCAATTTATGTTTAACCCACTTAGGAAAGACTTATTTGAAAGACTTATTTGTGCAGACCTACAAAACACAAAAAAGATTGTTTCTTGTTTTGCACACATAAAGGTGAATCAAAAACTTTTTGATTATTAAAGAAATTGTTAATGTTTTTTCGAGTGGACCTTCATTTAAAGAGTGGCATGTGTCCGATTCACAACAGTACTCTTAAAAATTTTGTCCAATCAAGAATGTATATCCAAATTTTTTTTTTTTAAATTAACTTTTTTCTATTTGGGGTTCTCTATAAAAGTGACTTGTTCATTTCACTCACAAAATTAATGGTGTTTAATGTTTAGAATTAAGCACTTTTCAAGCTAGAGAAGCGACAATATCTTCAAAATCAAACATTATTGATCAGAAAAAGGGTCAAAGTGTACCTTTGTGAATCAAAAATTCTCCTTTTATTATTTTTTTTAATGAAGGGTCAGACTAAATTACAGTTACAGCCAGCCCCTTTTAGGAATTGCTCGTTTGTTTTAAACTTTTTGACTTTTTTGAAATATGCGTTTTGTTTAAATGGAATATTTACCACCAATAGTATGATAATAAGTTATTTTACCAGGAAAGGGGTTAGAACACAACTGTGTAAAGAGTCAAGCTGTTTCAAACATTATCGGATTAGCGTTATCTTTGGAGCATCCATCCCCTGAGCAAGTAGCTGCTGGGATCATCAAGATAGCCCTGTTGGCAAATAATATTTTGTTAGCTTTGGGAGTTAAGTAAACATTAAAGTTTGAAAATATTCTGGAAAATGTATGCCCAATACAATTCTGTATATTTCCATCTAAAAAGTAATATCGTCTGATGATGCTTGTCTATGTTTGTGAGTTTATCAAATATTAATAAATGACATTATAATCCTGTATTGTAGATTATAAAGGCCAAACATTTTTTTGGGAGTGGGGGGGGGTGGAGATTGGAATTAGCGCCCTACCATCAGACAATTTCTGGGCCAAGCGCTGAGGCCTCTTAAATATTAAATGATAATTTTAGTTGATTAATTGTCGCTTCTGACTTTTAATTTTTGTAACTGTATTAGCCTGTTCTAGCCACAGCACTCCGCCCAGAAGCAATCTTAATCCCCCCTCAAAAAAAAAAATTGTAAGAATGAGAGAGACAGCGCATTAATCAACATTTAAGAAGCCGCAGACGATATCTTCCTTTTTTTCCATTTAGATAGTGGCATTTCCGATTTACAACGGTACCCTGACGTGCTTTGTAATGACAAGAATGAGTAACAAGAATGAATAGCAAGAATGAATAACATGAATGAATAACAAGAATGAATAACAAGAATGAATAACAAGAATGAATAACAAGAATGAATAAAAAAATGAATGAGAAATCCGCATTTATTTCTTAAAATTTCATTATTGTTAGTAGTGATTTCTAAAGCTACTTGCGCATTTCCGATGCGAGAAATATAGGAGATATTATCAGAATTAAACACAAATAACAAACAATATTGTCAATTTTCTTATTATATAATGATCGATGATTGTTTTTAATATTTAGGATTAATGGGAAATATAATATGGACGATCTTTTTCTCTCTGATAGTTATCTGCTCGATCGTAGGAAACATTGCTGTGCTCTGGGTGATAATAGGTAATAATAACACATTTTTTACATTTTAAATTTTTCTATTTATCCTGTCTTAATGTTGTTATCTTTACCGCACCATCATATTGCCTATTTCAAAATTATATGTTACTAAGCTGCGCCCATCTTCTGTTTCAGTTGTAAAATTTTTCTTTGTATACGATGTAAGAAAATTTTTAAAAATTCGCGGATTTTAACAAAAATTTTCGTGGATTTTCTAAATTTTATAATAATCAAATTTTGCTGGAGGTAAATTTTTGAAATTTTGATCATTCATAAACCTTCCCCGGGTTCACGCAAGATTTGGTCCCGATCGGTTCAGCCGTTTTGACGTTTATTGGATACAAACAAACAAACATGTACAACAAAATGGTGGTTTTACACTTTTTAAACTTAATTCCATTCAAGGATTTTATGCAAGGAAAGTTATTTCAGAGGTGTGCGCATCTTTTGTACTGCAGTGTACTGTCACTGGGTGGTAATATAAACACAAGACGTATGTCGAAGCCTGACATGGGATCCATCTTTCACATAAAAAAATCAATGAAATATTCTGGTCATAGGAAACTATTATGTGAATTATCAAAATTACTAAAATTCAATGCTTTTAACCTCCTCGGATACTAAAAGAACACTGATGCATCTATTCTTGTTTACAAATTCCGCATAGAGAGAACTGGTTTCAATATGTGCGCAGAATATACGCAACTGCAATTAACTTTCCTTACATTACAACCTTGATTCCACTTTATACTTAATTCTATTCTCTTTGACTTTATATCAGTCTGTGCTTTATCTGTTCAATGTTCAATATCATACAGTGCATGATATTCTCAATACCACACAGAACACGACATGTTCAATATCATACATGTTACAGTGCACACATTCTCAATACCATACAAAAGACGACATGCACACAATACAATACACAGCCCGACAGGCTTAAAACCATACAGTGCACGATATGCTCATTATTATTTAGAGAACGACATTATTGATATTATTCAAATCACGACACGCTAAATACAAAAAAAGACATGCTTAATATCTTACTTGTATCACGACATGGTCAATACCACAGAAATGAAAACATGCTCCATACCATACACAGTTAAGGACATGTATAATTGTTAACACAAATTCAAAATATAAGGAAGACAATTTTACCGACTCAGATGCCGTTGACTATTTTCAAGACGTGTGAATCTATTTCCGCTGATCCACCCACATGTCATCCTTGCTCCTTCGTTCCCCGTGCTGCCCTCANCTGGTAACAGCTCCGACACAGGGAGCCTCTTGACTCCTTCATGCTGATGATGCAGATCCTGAACTAACAGCAGGCGTGCTTATACCTCTGATGTCCCTATTAACTTCTTGAGAAGCTCACTTAGGAAACATATACCCGGCTCCGACCAAAGTTTCCGCTATCTCGAGTTGCATTGCCTTAGTTCCATTGATAAGCCCTGTTGTTCCAGTTCCTGTTGATCTGCTCCACCAACATGAAGCTCTACAACACTCCCATGAAGTGCCCACAAATATCCATCATTAATTCCTTTGTTAATTTCTAAATCAACCAATTTTAACTCCGTCTTAAGCAAATATTTCAAAACTTTCGTTTTTTTAAATAAATGTTAGAAATATCCATTTCAGATATCTTTGTTTATTATATTGACTTTTAAAGTCAACAATAATATGCATGTCACTATCTATGTCATTTATTGTATAACTGCCCGTACATTATGTGCTTTATAATGTACTGTAAACTGTACACACTCCTTTACGGTATACCTACACTGTTCACTGTGCCCTAAGCCCGAAATTTAAAAGAGAATCGTTGAACGAAACCCCCGAGTTTCCTTTTGGGGTGTGCATTTGTGTAGATTTTGTTTTAAGAGATTAGAAAAAATGAAGAATATAAACAAACTGAATTAAATAATATTTAATAACAAAAAAATGTAGAACTAATATCTATTTTTTTACTCTACAGAGGTTTGGTCCATCACCATCACTGAATTTTAAGCAAAGATATTGAAATTCACAAAACTGCCTTACCCCAAACATGAAACCCGGGGTTTAAAGATGGTTTTAATAACGATACCCTGTCTTAAGTTTTGGACTCTGAGCCCGAAATTTAAAAGAGCATTATTAACCGAAACTCAAGAGTTATCTTATTGGGGTTTTGACATTTGTATAGATTTGATTTAAAAAAATGAAAAAATGGAAAATATGAAGAAACTAAAAAAATAATATTTCATAACAAAAATATTCAAAACTGCCTAACTCTGGTCTTGAAACCCGGGTTTCAAAAATGGTTTTTGCATGGTTTTTGGGCTCTGTACTTTGAACTGTATAATTACGCTCTAATAGGCACCTTCAAACATTTTGTAAAGGACACACTTTTAATAAATGAATTTTTAAAAGACTTATCATAATTTGATGCAATAGATTTTTTTTTTAAATCCGCAAATCTGCAATCTCAAATCTGCAATTTTTCTAACTTTAATCAGATAATAAAATATTTACTCAGAAGCATAAATTCTCCTTTTCTTTGAAAAAAAGTAATTATGTCTTACTTTCATTTATTTCTATTCAAAATCTTAAAATTGTAAAAAATAAAACTTATTTTCGTGTACGTGAACTAAAATATTTAAGAAACTGTTAAATTATAACGGGTTTTGCAAAATAAATCCCCCCCCCCCCCCCCCCAAAAAAAAATAACTTGATATCTTGGATTTTAAGTAAGAAAAACTGAAGCTACACACTATAAAAATGAAAACTTCGTTTTTAAAATCCATTCGTTTATAAAAAAGTAAATGCAAAATACATCAAATAGATAAATGCAGTTTGTTTATAGAGTGGTATATATAAACCTCCATTATTTATGCAATAGCTAACACAAAATAGAAAAACAACCCATCGTCCACAGAATCCTTTCTGAAATCCAAACAACGATAAAAAAACAAGTTTTTTAATGTAAAAAATGTGTTCTACATGTAAGTAATATTTGTTTATCCATGCCTTTAACCCAGGGATAAGAATAAAAGGAATGGAAGTGGCACTAGTCTGGCATGAAAAGCCAGTTGCAATACTTTGCAGACGGGTTCCTTATTTTTAACGCATGCGCCCGAGACAATCAGATATTTAAACCCTACAGTCAAAGTAGGTGCAGATCCATGTCGTTAATTATAATTAAGTTTGAATTGAACCACGAATAGTTTATTAAGAATTTTAATCAAACTATATTCTTTGCATGAAAATTTCGCTCATAGTTTTGACTTAATTATATATGTGTGTATATCATAGAGTAATACTCTAATAATAGTAATACACACCAATAAAATACAACTATTCGGTTCCTTGTTAAAGCCTTAACAGACGAACACTCTTTGGTTCGGACACACACACATGGTGTATTCGCCCCCTGCTTCAACCATAGAAGTTGTGTATTTTTACGTAGGAAAGGTACAGTTATGACTTGTGAGGCCAAAGCATAATATTTTATTTTAACTCTTGATTTTAATAAAACTGTTGGATGTACATATCAACATAGAAGTGAAGAGAATCTGTCAATATAAAAAAACTTCTCTTCCAATACTTTAAAACTTGCAATTCAAAAAAAAGCATGTTAACATTAAAACTTACGTTAAAAATCGTCTTCATTGCATTGATATAATCGACTGCCAATGTTGTAAAACTATTTTCTCTGTAACAACATTAAATACACTTAACTATTGCGTAGTCTTCCTATTCCAAAGTTTTCTGGTTCTAAATGTATCTTTAAAGTTTGCGGAGATATTGTAAAATTTGTAAAGGTTTCATTTTTGAAAAAAATTGTCCTGATATTGACACCCTTTCTCCTTTCTCATGCGTAAAAAAGAATATATCAGGTTTCACTTATTGTTTTATTGTATATCATTACGACATATATTTCCAATTTACAGTATTATATTCATTTACAATTATTCTTCGAGACAAATTATATCGCTTTTTCTATAATTTTGTTTTTAAATGTGCAACGATACTTAATGCATATTCCATTTTATAATATACGTAATTTGACAAATTACTAATTATTTTAATATTTGTTGCTTAATTTATTTAAATGAAACTTGAAAATCCATGAAGACACCTTTACTTACATTTTTTGCTTTTCTTACGCATCAAAATACATAAAATATACAAAATACACAAAATTAAAAAAATACACAAAATGTACAAAATACAAGGTATACAAAAAATATACATAATACGCAAAATACACAAAATATACAAAATACATAAATCCAAAAAAATACACAAAATACACAAAATGCACAAAATGCACAAAATACGCGTTATACAAAAAATACACATAATACACAAAATACACAACAAACACATACACAAAATGAACAAAATACACACAATGTCAATGTCACACAAGCTCTTAATTGATCCATGCAAAACCAATCTCAGCTTGTATGTTTCAACGAGGACCATCTATCAATGTCAAGAGGGACACAAGTTCTTAACTATCAATGCCAAACCAATTGGCAGGATCTTGTAAGCTGTCGATATCAATCGGAAGCTCGTAACTATCAATACCAAATCAATGTGCACAATCCTGAGCCTGTTTGTTTAAAACAGTGAACGATTACTCTCTGGCAGTAAACTGTACAGAGTCTCTTTATCAACTCGCTATATTTAGATTGTATATTGAAGATTAAGTATTAACAGACGTAATTACTCGATAAATATATTGTAGTTAAGCTAATCACATTATGGATTTAATGGAGTTATATATATACGTATTTAGGTTGGGTTAATAGCAATACATGATTTGCGTATTTAATGAGTGCATTTAGATCTGTGGACAATGTACAACGTAATCTGTATTTATTACATGTTGTCGTAAATTAAAGTGACCTCAATGTAAAGAAGAACATACCTGATTCTCTACCTTGTTGTTACCTGTTACAACTTTATTTTAATCCAAAATTTCAAAGATATCGCCTTTTTTTAGCTTGAACGATATTAAACGGTTTCCTCGAAATATGAAATATGAAAATCTATCAAAACTGGTATCGGAAATTGGGAGGGTCAGTTGTTATAGAGTCTCTTTAAGACTACAGGGGGAGTCAAAAAAAGGGGGAATACCATGGATCTTGCATATAATAAAGCATTTTTTAGGTAATCTCATTTTTAACAAATATGTATGAAATTTCAAAAGCAAATTTTTGATATGCAATCTGACAGAACCCTTTTAAAAATCCGCGAAACTATTTTTTACTGAAAACTAAATTAGTAGAAAACTAACATTGCTGGATCATATTATTTCTATCACACCTTAAAATGTTAAACCGATTAAATTAGTAGTTTCGGAGAAAATGCGCGAAATTAAATTAAGAAAAATTCGTAATTTTATTTTTGAAAAAAAAATCATTTTGATGATTTTTATTCTTTTTAAATTCTTTTTATAATATGAATTTTTGAGATAGGTAAAATATCTAAATTATAATATTTGGAAAATACGCATACAAAAGTGTATTATTAGAATATGCTGATTTCTGAAATTAATTTCACGCATTTTCTCCAAAACTACTCATCTTATTTATTTAAGATTTCAAGGTGCGATAGAAATAATATATTCCCCCACTTTTGTTTTTCTACTTATCTAATTTTGAGTAAAAAATATTTTCGCGGATTTTTTAAAAGATTGCCAATCAAAGTTTTTTTGAAATTTCATACATATTTGTTAAAAATTAGATTACAAAAAAACTGCTGTAATATATGCAAGATCTCGCTGCTATTCACCCTTTTTTTGACTCACCCTGTATGTCGCAAGAAACCCGAATTGTCGGGCTCTTAAAATCTACGACCCCCCATGAAACTTTAAGTTGCACTTTATTAGATATTTATACATGATGTAATTAGCGCGAAGCACGTTTTTTTATTTTAATCATTTGGTTATACAATTACACGAAACCGTTGTTTTAACCGAAAATTAACGTTAGGCCTGAAATTTCTCTAATACAACAATTCTTCTCAACCCTAGTCGTAACTATATAATAGTTAACTTTTCTCGGTTAGTTCTTTGCTTGGCTCTTTATGTTGGAAAACTCTTGGAAAACTTTTGAGGGAATTATTTCGAAATTTTTTTTTTAGTATGAAAAAAATTATTTACAAAAGAAAATCATGGTACACACAATGTATTCAAACTCTGTTATCTTATTTGTAATATGAACTAGCATGGTACTTACAGTATAAGTGTTATTAACAATACTTAAACATTTTAATTTGTATCAAAAAAGGAAGATTTTTACATAGTAGAACAGGGAGAAACTGAAAATCCGCCCAAATAAGAGAACGTTTTATAATGGCGAACTTTGGAGCAACAATTAAAAGGAATGTGGGCGGAAGTATTACAATGTTACAAAAAATGCAAGGAAAAAAGAAGTATACATGATTCATGTTTGTTGTAGGGAACAGACGGATGTGGAGTGTGCCCAACTACTTCCTGGCAAATCTAGCGTTGGCAGATTTAGGCAAACATTCAGATTTTAAATTGAAAATTTAGACAGAAATGTTCAGAAATAGGAAATAATCGATTCAGATTTTAAACTGAAAATTTAGACATAATTATTCATAAATAGAAAATAATCGATTCAGATTTTTGACTGAAAATCATGAAATGTTCAGAAAAAGAAAATAATCGATTCAGATTTTAGATTGAAAATTTAGTCATAATGTTCAGAAATAGGAAATAACCGATTCAGATTTTAAACTGAAAATTTAGGCAGAAATGTTCAGAAATAATCGATTCAGATTTTAAACTCAAAATTTAGTCATAAATGTTCAGAAATAGGAATAATCGATTTAGATTTAAACTGAAAATTTAGTCATAAATGTTCAGAAATAAGAACCAACCGATTTACATGTAAGATTTAGATATAAGATATAAGATTTAGATATAAGATAAACGATTTTTAAGTTAAAGATATAAGATATAAGATAAAACATAAGCTTCAGATATAAGATTCAAATGAAAGATACAAGATTGAGATATAACATTTATTTATAAGATTTAAGCTCAGATTTAAGATATATAATATCTAGACATAAAATTAAGATATAAGATATTAGATTTATTGTTCTGAAATAATGTCTATAATCTCCAAACTTTTCATTTTCTTAATAAAACTTTTCAGTCTTAGTCACTGGAATAGGAATTTTTAATCCTGGGAAATTCTTCAAAAAAATGTCTTTAGTGAAATTCTCCAAAATATTCTTTGGAATTTTTGAGAATATCTTCAAAATTGTGTACTCTGCTTTGTATTGCTTGTTAAAATATTATTAAATTTAACAACTAAATAAAAGTAGCTTCCTAGAAAATTTTTTAATCTCTCTCAATATTTTCTGCTCTATTTTATTCAAAGAATTTTTATCGGGACACACTCTAGTAAAGAAAACTTTAGTTAAATATTTAGGTATACTGATACAGTAATACAGTACAAGTAAACTTTAGTTAAATATTCTGGTATACTGATACAGTGATACAGTACAAGTAAACTTTAGTTAAATATTCAGGTATGCTGATACAGTGATACAGTACAAGTAAACTTTCTGATACAGTGATACAGTACAAGTAAACTTTAGTTAAATATTTAGGTATACTGATACAGTGATACAGTACAAGTAAACTTTAGTTAAATATTTAGGTATACTGATACAGTGATACAGTACAAGTAAACTTTAGTTAAATATTCAGGTATACTGATACAGTGATACAGCACAAGTAAACTTTAGTTAAATATTCAGGTATACTGATACAGTGATACAGCACAAGTAAAAGTAACTTAGTCTTAAATTTCTCATTTAAAATCCATCTAAAATAGCGTAGGAGACTGGATCCTTTAATATCTAAAATTCATGCATAGTATGACAATCTTTTTTATATAATAAGACACGAAATTCGTATATATATGTTCCCTATAGCCGGCCAAACAACTGTACCGAATGTGCTGACATTTTTTGTGGACACTCATGGGTAGCCATCCAGACATAGGCTTAAAAATTTGCTTTTAATTTTTATGCAAATTTTAAATTTTTTAATCAAATTTTGTTTTTCTTAATTTTTTTCCACGAACAACGCTGCATCCTTCAGTTAGTACAGTATGTAATAGCAAATAAGAATCGCTACATTTAAGGGTTTTAAAGTTTAGACTCACCAAGATCTTTAGTTTACCGTGAGAAGTCAGAAATTTTTTGTTGTCTCCATCTTATGCAATCCTACGGTTAAATTCAAATGCTCTTTGATTACCCATGCTGGTTATACACTGCAGGAATAACTTTTGTCTGTCCTCAAAGGAATTGAGTCTTTGCCACAAATTCAAATTTTCTAATCCTTATATCTATGCAACCTGATAGTTTAGACCTCTGATATTTGAAACTTGAGTTATCACTGCGACTTTTAATCAATAGAAATTTAAAGAGTTTTTTGGAAAAAAAACATTTTTTATAAAGTCAAGTCTGTGTAAAAAAAATCTACGATAGCCAATAATTTTTGTGTGACTAAAGCTGCAGATCTAAAAAAATTATTTTTGAAAAGACCTTGAAAAATGGATGTAGAAACATTTGTAAGAAAAACTTTGATGTTTGATTTAAAAATAAAAATAAATATTTTTACATTTTATTGACCAGTTTTTTAGATTTTTTTCAACCCACCCTAGCACCCAAACTATTAAAGTTTTCGGTTTCCGTGTGAGACTGCGCGAGCATATTTTCGTTCACTCACAATTATAATAAAAACTGTCGTTGCTCTTCTCAGGATAATTTTGTTCTTTAGATTTAATTTAATTTTCTTAAGATCAAAAAGAAATTTGAATATATAGTAGACTTAAAATTTACAAAAGAAAATGTATTTAGAAACAGAATGGTTTCAATAAACATATTTTGGAGCAATAAAACAAGTTTTATAAAAAAAAATTCATTGATTTTCTAATAACTATTTATAACACTGTGATTTTGGTTTGCGGTTTTTTTCAATTTTTTGTCAGAAATTTTCTCTATATCTCGAAGGTTGAAGCCTTTTTAGATTTAATTTTGTCCCGAGCTTTTGCGAGGGACAAAATATAATCTTAAAAGTCCAAAAACTTTAAAGCGCGTTGTAAGGTAATTTTTAAACGTTTTTGATCTTATCTTATTTCAATGGCTATTTCTATTGATCAAATAAGCTTTGAAACAAGGCAGAAGTCAAAAAAATAAAGTTGATTTCAATTTTATTTTCATTTGAATTGAAAAAATAATATTTTGGAAATATACTAAATTTTATGGAAAAAATCCGGGAACCAATCAAAACTTTATAGCACACATGCTATAATGTACAGCTAATTTAACTTTATAGCACACATGCTATAATGTACAGCTAATTTAACTTTATAGCATGATGATTACTCTTTACCACGGTTTTTGTTAAATTCACGATGAAGTGAGTAAGAATGATAAAATACACAATAGTTTTTAAAAAATCTTATTTTGAACGTTAGAATCATGAAATATCACAAAATAATGGTTATTCACTATTAATTCAAGGCAGTTCTTAAATGAGAACATTGTTGAATATCTGAATTTGTATGAATAGGGATGGCAATGCTGAACACAATGCCCTCCTTTATCTTCATGAGAGATGGGTAAGAGAAAATAAAGTTTGTTTATTTATTCAACGTTTACTGACCCCTCCTACTGCGTATTTTATAATATGGCGGGTAATTATGCAAATCTTAAAATATTTCAGTAAAAAAACTTTTCATTAATACTAAAAAGTTCTTGTGAAAAGTTAACAGATATTTTTCTCAAATGATGGTAAAATTTGTATTTATCTCGTTTTTCTTTGTGATTCAGTTAAAAAAGTACATTTTCGAAGGCTAAATTTAAATGATTTGAACTGCATCTTTCAAACATGGTATGGTTCAACTAGTAATTTGTATCAGTTTTTCAAGGTTTGAGCCAGTGCGCAATTTGAACCAGTATTGTATTGTAATATGAAAGATTTAACTGACAATTTATAACAATGTCTAAAGAAAGTATTTATGTTTAGAGTATGGCAACTGGGAAGTATGTACTGCTCTGTGAACATGTTCACCTCCGTTCTGACCGTCAATGCGAACATCTTCACCCTCGTTGGTCTCACTGTAAACAGGTGAGACAGCATTGGCGACATGAAGAAGAGAGTGGAAAAAATTTTCTCTCATTTTATTTTCACAATATTTTGTAAAACTTAAATGGTAATTGGCATGTCTCTATAAATATTCTTCTTTTTCAACTTTCTCCATGCCCTCTTATCTGCAGGTTTTTTCATTGGAACGTGTTCTCTCAGTTGTTAAATTCAATGAATAATAATTGGTTTTGTCGTAGGTTTGCTTGTATCTTATCCTTAATATCCATATGCAGCTTAAAAAAATTTGTTTACATTTTCAATTTGTGTACTTTTGACAGCAATTTCCAACTTTGCGTTGAATTATTAATAGCGGAAAAAATTCTTCTTATAAATAAAAAAAATTCTTTTTCAAACAATTCTAATATTTTATCTCAAAATTTAATTTGTCTTTTTGATTATTTCAATTTTAGTGATGATATTTTGACCGTTTTTTTAGAAACCGGGCTATTCTAACCCCCCTGGCTCCACGTGCCTCCTCTCTCTCTCTAGTGATCGGTATCTCCTTCATCTGGCTACTGAGCGGAGTTGCAGCTGTGCCATCAGCTGTTTTCTCAAAACTGGTTACCGTCTCGACTAAGGAGTAAGTTATGTTTTTATTACTAACGCTTAAATTTTGTATAAGATAGGCGTAATAATTAGTACAACAAAACAGTGCTATGGAAACCCCTCACCATGAAAATGCCTGAAAAAAGGGACTCAAAAAATTAATTTAATGTCGTCTTTTCTCAATCCAAAGTTAAAAATAATATATTCTAATGATTTTCACAGCCATGGCTGCAGCGCTCGGACCCCTAGCCTGTCCTAGCCACAGCGCACGGTGCTCTATAAGCCTGTCTGAGCTGCACCATTCGGCCCTTCTGTAGCCTGCGGCATAACTCAGCCTACCATAAATTATTACATTAATTAATTTTTTAATAATTTATTTTTTAATGAGAGAAGACAACATTAAATTAGTTTAATGAGTATGTTTTTTTTTAAAGGCATTTCCGTGGTGAGACGTTTCCGCTGTGAGGCGTTTCCATAGCACCAACAAAACATGAACTTGATTAGAGAGGAAGTTTAAATTTGATGAGATACAGTGATTAATTCTGTAAAATAAGTAAACTAAATTCTGCTGCAGTATTGATCATGAAATGAGGCAGTTTTTTTAAAGAATTTGAACCACATCTAGACGCGGTTCAAACATGGCTGTTTCAACTTAAAAATTAGAATCAGAGTTTCAAGATTTGCACTAGCGCGCAATTTGAACCATTAATTAGTAGTTCAAATTCATTAAATTTAGCCTCTTAACAGGTTTTTGTGGCCGTTGATTGTTTTTATTGTTCTATCTAAAATACTTCCGAGACAAAAAAAAAACTAAAATAATTACCAAAAAAGAGTCTCTAAGAAATTGTACAACATTACAACCCATGACTCCCTCAACAGCAGGATGTCGTAATTAACATACCTTAGATGTTTTTTAGACAAATATGATCAAGAAAACCATGGTTAAGTAAAAAGTTTAATTTCCCAAAAAAGTGATTGTAAATAATTGTCTTATTTTTCCTTTTTTAGTGGAGGGAAGAAGGCATTATGCCTGATGGTGTGGCCTGATGGCTGGCAGGGTAAATCAAGCATGGATCATCAGTAAGTAAAAATATTATTTTTCAAATCCATCTCTGAATAGCTAAACTATACTCATGCTAAAAGTCTTGTATTGCACCTGTTTTTTTGGCGATCCTGTCAATCATAAAATGTGATATCCAGAGAAAATATTACTAGTATTACATTGTAAACTTTTATATTGTTTAATGTAATTTTGCTTTAGACAAATATAAATGATGAATATATGATAAATAAGAATATTATACTCACTTGTCTGGGAAACATTTTTAAAATTAACGCAAGATTCCTATAACAAACGACATTACTTTGGAAATTGTTAGTGAACGAAAATAATAGTTCAGGAAAAAAAAATTTAGAAAAAAGATCCTACAGATATGTGTTCCAAATTACCGGTGACTTTCGTTATTTTTTTCGGGTGAAAATTGCATAAAACTTAATTAACTTTAAAAAAAAATTGCTAGGATTGAAAAGATATTTCAATATGTAATTTTTTAAACATGTTGGTAGAAAATTTTATTTCTCTTGAGTTAAAAAATAACATTTTCGTACATCAAAATTCAAAACATTTTGAATGAAAATTTTCAACTGTTTTAATTTTATTGATTTTATGTGATATTGATTACATTAAAAAGTACTGGAGAATACCTACATTTGTTGTCGAAAAGGTTAAAATCTTTAAAATGTTTTGATTCAGGATAAAATCCTTATTAAATCTTGTTTGTGACCAGTTTCCACTTATGGGATCAACAAGTTCAAATCACGTTTAAAATCTTATAGATCGGAAAATTATAATCTGAGTGTTACTTTTGAAAATATTCATTCCTAACATTTCGAGGATTTTAAATAATGAAGACGACATTTTAATATTTCCAGAAATATTCCAAAATCCAGCCGCAGTCATGATACAAAATGTTGATTAAAAGTAAAAGTAAAAACATATTATGAAATATCAACTTTGTTCAAATGCATCGAAGTGAATTCAACATTTTTAGGTTGTTATATCTGAACAATTAGTTTTAAATTTAATTAAATTATTTACAAACTGATTGCAATAATTTGTAACTCTGTGAATTTATATGGATGCTACGCTCTGCTATGGTGGATTTTGAATTTTATTTTCATTTTTTGCGAATACTCCTTTTAAAAGAAAGTAAAATTTTCACCTTTGTCTACAGTTGGAGGTTCTACACCATTTTGATCATCAAACTTAATAGATGACATTAACAAAAATCTTTATTAGACTGCAAAACCTGGAATCTACTGGTTAAATAATTGCTTGCATGAATTTAACAAGTTTTTGCAGAAGGTTCAGGGAAGGGAAAAAATAGACTATTCTCGGTCTATTTAATCAATAAAAATATAATTAATTTACTAAATAATTAAAACGAACATGAAAATATACTTATAATAAGGGACGGAGTGCTAAAAAATCTAAATAATTAGCACGAACATGACAATATACTTATAATAAGGGACGAAGTGCTAAATAACTAAATAAATATTAATTTAGATTTTACAATTTTTTTCCAATTTGTTGCTTCTGTTTTATGTAAAAATGGTTTGATAACCAGCGTTATTACCAAACTTTGAAATTTTTTTTTGTCAAAAATATAAAACCATTTTGAATTTGTATTTTATATTTTATTATAAATTAAATTTTAGCATATTTTAATTCTGGTTTTATAATAAATAACAATAACTACCTCTCATACTTTTCTTATATTTTTTTTTTATTTACAAAATCAGTGTACCTCTGATAATTGTTTACCCAACTTTGATTTTCTCGAACGGTCCCTTTAAATCAATCTTCTCTGAATAAAAGAAAGGAGTTCGATCCCGGGAGTGTTTATTAAAAGTAGAACCATGCCACCTTATTCACCTTTTGTATCTTGTTACATACACCAAGATAAAATTCTTAACATTGCAAAACTATGTGTACTTGCAGTTAGAACCGCACAATAAATTATAAAGTGATAAAATATTGGTGATTTTTTAAAGCTTTTGGCTACGTAAGCTTTCAGAATTAATACTTTCTTTAAAAAAATTGAAATTAAATTTTTGGATTATATTTTGTCCCAAGGTTCTTAGCACTGAGCACCAAAATATTAAGGCTAAAAATTATTTGGATTTTTTGTTAAAATTGATGTTTTTTATTTATTCTTAATTTTAATTTTTACGCAAATTTTAGCCGGACACCTTATTTGGGGTAAAAAAAAGGAGATATAAATAGGAAATAAAAATAATGGCTTTTTTTGCTCCTGGGAGCCGTAGAAAACCAATAAATGCTTTTTAGTAAAACAGTGCCAATTCAGTTTGTTGAGACAAAGAGAAGATTTTAAAATGGGCAATGCATAGTCGATAGCTTCTTGTTTCACTCAGCCGTTTATCGTTTTTTGGATACAAACATCACAATGTGAAAAAAAAAAAATTTGATATTGTTAAGTTACAACTTGTTCCTGTTCATGATCAACTACCTTCTCCCTCTTCTCTATATGATCTTCGCATACTCAAGGTACAACAACAACAACAACAACAACAATAACAAAACAAAAAAAAACAATAATAACCACAACAACAAAAACGACAATAAGGATTTAATTTTCCAGGATGGGATGTGTGTTAAATGCAGAAGTGATCGGAGAATCGACATCATCCTCTCGAATGGCTCGGAACAAGAAGAAAAAGGTAAAACATAAAACATTTGTAGAATTTTGAACGAGGGATTGGATCATATATATTAAGTAGTAATCTTTGTTTGTTTGTTTGAATGATGATCTATAATGCATGACCTCCTGAACTGATTTGCCTCAAATATTGATTGGGGAACTCAGGAGAACAACTGGAATGTTCTTATAGCTTGGTTTTGAGCTTCTAAGTTGAGTTGATCGAAAAATAGCTAAAATCGTATTTTATGAGGATGTGTGGGTAAACAATGGGCTATAAGTACTCTAGGCAGTGTTGGGTCCATATGCCGGTTTTTAATATATATATTTGCAAAAAGAGGTATTAAAACTGTTGTTTTCTTATTTTTGTTGTTGAAGATATGAAATATTTATTAACTCAACAAAAGTTTAGACACCGAGTAAGGTTACCTAAATCATATTGTTTTAGTCAATTATTTATTTATTTCAGTTTAATGTTTATAAAAGAAAACACACAAATCTTAAAAAAATAAATATTTTGTTTTAGGAAGTGAGTAAAATTATACATTTTCTAAAAAATGCAAATAAAAACATGTGTCATAAGTTAAAATCATATTTTTTTTGAGATATTTTTTTATTGCATATTCTTTAAATTCTTCTTAAATTTCATTCCCATGGCTAGAGTCGTTAGAGGTCTAAACTTTAAACAAAAATATAAATACCAGATATCTTGATAATTTTTTCCTGGCATTCACATTAAGTTTCCCCTGAAAGGACTTGAGTCTTTGCCACTCACTCAATTTTACAATTCATACATGATGATGTAAACCCTTGATACTTTAAATTTATATCATTTTATTTAATAGAATTCATATTTTGAAATTATATACGTCTACGACATTGGGTTGCTAAGATATAGAGAGATTAGAAAATCTGAGTTTGTGGCAAAGATTAAATTATTTTTGCACATTTTAAACATTAAATTTAAATTTAATTTTCTAAAATTTTATATTGTGTATCTAGGTGGTAAAGATGTTTGCCCTACTTGTATTCCTGTTCGGATTCTGCTGGTTACCCTACCAACTCTACTTTCTCATCTCACATTATGTACCTACCATTGCTAGACAGCAGTACACAAAGTAGGACAGTTTTTTCTTAATTAAAACGAAGCATTTTTGTGTATTAAAACTTGGAAATATATAAATAAACACAAATCCAAATTTTTTAATTATCCTTCAAGGCCTCACTAGGAATATTCGGAGAAACGACTACATATGTCAAATAGAAAACATTTGAAAATGTTTTAAGTGATATTTTTAAAAATCTTATTATTAATTCAATTATATGAACTATAAAGAACGATAGCCTACCAAAAAAAAGGTTTATTTTAACTGTTAAATTGTTTTTTTATTATTATTATCATTATGATTATTGATAATAATAATATTATTAACTATCATAATGATATTAACATTATAAAGATTATTATTATTAGTAGTAGTAGTAGTAGTAGTAGTAGTAGTAGTATTATTACTGTTACAGTCGGCTAAAAACAGTGAATGAATCTAAACAACATTAAATTAGAGATGATGTTAGGTCTCAACAATAAAAACTGGACCCTGCCTTTGCAGACTTTAGACTCTCTCTGGCCTCTGGTCTTGCTTTTTACGGCTCTGGATAGACGCCTCTTGCTAAAACTTAGATTGCAGACTATAGGCTCTCTCTCAGGGGTCAAGTCCCAGGGGTCAGTCCTCCTGACCCATCCTTCCTCCTTCCTGCAGTAGAATGTAGTTGATACTCTCCTCCCTCGGACTTCATTATCAACTGGGTAATCCTGGCTGAGTGGTCATCTACTCAACATCATCTTTGAAACAAGATATAACTCATGTTACTAAACTATCTGGTGACCTCTTACAGACCAAGGGAGAGGAAGGAGAGGGGGGGGGGGGTTTACATTACTTTTATTATTATAATCTGCATCAATTATTTAAGGGATATGTACCTGGGGTTCTACTGGCTAGCAATGATCAACAGCTGTATTAATCCACTAATCTACTATGTATGGAACGAAAGGTGAGTACTTACTAATTGACTAATTGATTGATTGACATATTTACACAAAAAGAGGCTTCTAACCAAAGAGAATAGAATATATATTAGAGTGGAATTTATACAATCCTTCGATATGAGTTTTGTCAGTCCCTTTCAGCCTGAAATGGAGTTCAAAGTGTACAGATCATGTAAATGTTCACAAGTTATATGCAGTAGAGTACATCAATACAGTATGTTCCCTAGACTATCCATTTCAATTTCGAATTCTTTAAAGCTGTTAAATAAACTTTACAAAATGAATTAGGTGAATAAAAAACATCATATGATTTATATTTATAACGGAAAATCATCGTTTGTAAAGTGAAAGGCATAGAGCCTATGTGAAATGATAATTGGTGAATTATGACACCAGCCTATTTCATAATTTGGTTTTCTTTTAATATTAATTTTAGATTTTCTATAAAATGATGTTCCAGGGCCCAAAAGGTCAAAAAGCGCAAATATGTGAAGTACACCTGCAGTATGGAAACAGTACAACAAAATGGCCGTTTTACACTTTTTTCGAGTAAATTCCACTCTAATATATATTCTATTCTCTTTGCTTCTAAGAATCACGAGCAAGATAGCATTTTATTAGCTCAGGCATGGTTTAAAGGACACTGTTGTGAATTATGCATGATCCTCTTTAAATGGAACATCTCTTACAGTACGCCTACTGTCCCTTTAAAGAGCTTCTTTTTTCTTCGAAATTTTCTCTACGTCAAGAATGAAATTAAATTTTGAAGAAATTTTGATTTTTAAATCATATTTTTATTTACTTTTTACTTTTAAGAAGAGGGCTTCAGATTAAATGTGAAAACTTTTAAGAGATCACGGATATTGAGAGATGAATGATAGTAAAAAGATAGGAAGCCCTGAGGTCGAAATTTTTGTATTAATAATCCCTTAAGAAAGCACTAATCCATTGATTTTAAACTTATTCATAGGATTAAGTACAACAAAAACAAAAAAAGTTTGCGGATTTCATAATATTTTTTTGCGCATTTTCAAAATTTTTCAAAAAAAACTTTTAAACACAAATTTTTTTAATTTTGACCATTCATAAACCTTCCATGGGGTCACGTGAGGTCCCACAAAAAATTTGGGCCTGATCGGTTCAGCCGTTTTGACGTTTATTGGATACAAACAGACAAACACCCAAACAGACAGACAAGCCAAATTTATATATAGATTATCAAGTACAATATGTGGCAACAGAGAAATGGACAAATTATATATGACGTCACAAGTGTCAAATATAACAAGAAAGACAACATTTTCTCCCATTACTGGACATATTTCCCAAGATTAAATATAGAAAAGTTTAAAAACAGAAATTAAAAAAAACACAAAATTGCACTTATTTAACTGTAACACACTCTATTATCACTTACATTAATAATTTTGTCGGACACATAAAACTGTTCACACTTGTGAGGTAAGAATACAGCTCACTTAAGTACAAATTATATTTAGCCATCTATTGTAATTGATAATCTATTTGAATAGCTTCAAATTAATAGTGTTCATGTAAATATGGAAATTAGATTAGCAATTAGAGTTTAAATTATATTTTTCAAGTATATTATCTAATAACAACATTTATTGACAACTTATCTATTATAAAATCAATCAAAGACCACTCAATTTAAAACAGACATTTCTAATTCAAAATTTGTCAAAATAAGTGTTTGTAAGGTTTTAAAAGTTATTCAAATAAAGGATTTTACAGAAACATCATGGATGAATTTCTTTTTAAATATACTGCAAGCGTAGTTTTAAGAGACCCTAAATATAAAAATTGGTAATACCGGATTCACAACGGTACCCTTAAGTATGAATTAGACATGATTAAGTCTATAATTTTAAAAAACTGATTATTTTTAATTGTTTCTCTTCAAAAATGGCTTGTGCATTTGTAATGCAGGACAACATACAGAAATTATCAGCATTAAACAGCATCAAAGTTACTTGAGATGGAATTTAAAGAATTTGAGCCGCGGTTTAAATCCGCCAATACCCGGTTTAAATTAAGCGCCAGCTTAAATCTCGAAACATTTGATACAATTTTAAGTGGAACCAACCATATTTAAACCGCGGCTTAAATTTAAACCGCCGCTCAAATTCTTTAAATTCGGCCATTGAAAGTATAAATCACCCTTACAGTCCCTTTAATCAAGAGAAATACTTTTAAGGAATTTAATTTGCAAAATTCTTGTTAAATCTTTCGGATTTAAGTCTGAGTATTTTTCTGTTTAAGTCAAAGAATTAAAGATTTAGTAAGAAATATTTTATGTAGGAATGTACATCACATATATAATAGAATTCACTGAAATCAAATAATGTATTAATAGTTAAACGAACAAGGTGTTTTGTGAGTGTTTTAGTAGTTTAAAAACGGAACAAATAAATTATCATATTTTTTAAAAACGATTTCCAAAAAGCTAAAGTAGCTCAGGCCTAATTGTATGGAAGTTGTTGACATTTTAAAATGCTTAAACAAATGTTATTGTCTCGAAATGTATAATTTAAAGCACAATGAGAAACAAAATGTGATAAAAGCATTTTATATAAAACCATGTCTTACTAAAACATTTAGTTTACATACAAACTCCTGTACAGATGTCTTATGAATCCCAAATTATCAGAGACAGGGTTTTTTTTTATGTGAAATTTTATGTTATTTAGGTTACACCTTATTTCTTTACATAATGGTCTAAAATTTTCATACAAGAGTGTAAACTTTTAATCATAGGAAGATACCCTATCTCACAAAGACAATGTTATGAAAAATTATATTTTAAGAAAAAGGTCGACTTTGAAGTGTCAAAATGCATTGACCAATTTGCGTACATTTTAGAATTATAATTAACCACTTGATTTAGTTCAGTATTTAAGAAGTAATTGGAAATATTCCTTTACAAAATTTTTAACTTTTTGATCCATTCGTGGGTTTTTCAAACAGAATGTTTTATAATCGTAACCTAAATTTTAAAACAGAATTTCACGTTGCTCTAATTGTATCAGTAAAATATTTACAATTTTATATTTGCTATGAGTCCTCTCCTCTAATATTAATCTCTTCTTAACAGGATTAGAAGGATTGCCTTACAATTAAATATATTTAAGACGATTCGCGCACCTTTAAAAAAAAACTTTTCTTCTTCATATGTCATAAAACTACAAAACGCTGCGGATTTTCCAGTTTTTATTTGTGGATTTTGAGAAAATAAACTTGGTTGTAAATCTGTAATTTTTATTATTCCTAGGACTTTTGTAAGGCCTTTCAAAGAACTGTCGTTGAAATTCCATTTAAAGAGGGACATACATCCGATTATTAAGGTTGCTTATGAAACCTATATTTGATTATTGGTTTTTCAGCTGAATAAGTGTTTTCAAAATTATAAACATTAATTCATATATAATTCAAACTTGCTCAGAGAAAGCTTTTTAGGGGGGGGGGGTATAATAAATGGTCAATGATTATATATCTAAATCATTTATACAGAAAATATATAATTCCAATTTGTTTAAGGTTTCGCTCTTACTTTGATGACATCATTATGTACTGGTGTCCGATAAAAATGAGAAGAAATCAAGAAATCGGTGAGAGTTTATAAAATTCAGATTCTATACTGTTTTTTTACTTTAACCCTACCCCTGCTGGGGTACTTGAAAACCAGGATATGCTGGGGGGGGGGGTCAATTTAACCCCCCCTCTAAATCCCATGTCCAAATATGACAAATGATACATCATTAGAAAGCTCTTGTACTCTACTTTTAGAATCTGCAAAAAAAAAATGCAAATTTGCAAAAATTGAATTTTCTATCGCAAAATCCAGTTATATAGTAAAAATGTTTGCAAAAAAAAAATTTGTCCAAAAAATAAAAAATTATACATTTTTGAAAAGCCCTTGGCCATGCCATTTCAAATAAGCAAAAATTTTTGACAAATTTTAAATAATCTGACTTTTAATCAAGAAAAACTAAAAATGTGCAAATTTCCTTTGACAGGTTGTTTGCAAAAAATTTGCAATTTTTTTTTTGCAAAACTTGTGCAATCCGTTTCCTTATGTCATAGGCTTTCCAAAAAGCTAAATTTTATCAACATCTGACAAGTGAAAGTGGGTCAAAACAAAGATTTAGTTTGTTACAGGCAAAAGCAGTCATTCAGGCAGTGTGCCTGAGGACTCAGGCAGTTAGTATTAAAGCCCGGTTTTAGGCCTAAAGGGAGGGCTTTGGGTATGTAAGAAAAGTCAGAAAATTTCAACAGCCTCAGACCAATACTTTTTGAGTTATGTAAAAAAAAGCTACAGGGGGGGGGTCAAATTGACCCCCCCCCCCAGCAGAAATAGGGTTAAGAATCCTTATTAGCTAAATAAAAACGAATAGGCTTTTCAGGTTTCCTCATTGTTGACAAAACTGCCTGCAGGCATCATATTTGGTTCTATCATTTGTCGTTGTTTATTTATAGCATACAATATGGAACCCGTCAATTACACCCTGTCAACATTTCTATCTAAATACTTTTTGTTAAGATCTATTTTCATGCCCCCCCCCTTCCCGCCCCCTCCCCTTCCATCAGATTTTGCTATGTAAAGGAACTCAGTTCTTGTCATTATACATTGTCAAATTTCTACATTAATGCAACCTGACCTGCAAACTTGGACTATTTGATCTAATTCATGATTTAAGAAGAAACATCAAAAAGTCGCACAATATAATGATTTAAAACCAGAGATTGTAGCAAGAACTAAGTTCATTTCAAACATAATTTTGATGAATTTATTTTTCAATAATATTTTTAACAAGAGCATCAACATAATATATATTTATAACTATTGATTTGTAGATTAATTCATTCCAAATTAAGCATTAAACGGTAGCCATTGGTCTTCTCTAACATTCCTAATTATTGGTAAAGGAACTGCATATCTCACAATCTTTGAAACTTGATGACATACACCTTTGACATTGAAAACCATTTTATCTAACAGAATTCATAGTATGAAATATCAAAGGTCTACGCCATAGGTTAAGAATCTTTCAATAATTTTATTGAAAATGTTGAAAATTGGTGTTGTAAAATTTGCATTAATAAAATGCATTAAATATTTGAAAGTTAATCATTTAAGATTTGAATTTAGAAATTGAACTGCAGAGTATGGCCAGCGGAAATATAAACTCTGCACGAAGGATGTAAGTTTTGTTTACATAATTGTGGATTGATTACCCTCAGAACATTGATATATGACTTAAAAATTTTGAGGGTGGCTAAGAACATGCTTTTTTAAAATACTACAATTCTTTTCATAAATTAAATTTGTACATCAATAAAATCTACGTAAGATTTTCGATGGATGGATACAAATTTGAGATCTGTAACACAAAAATTAAGAAAGTTATGATAGTTTAAAGATTGCCATTTTGGCTGCTGTTTTTTGTAAAGTTAGAATAAAAAATATAGAATATCTTTCATATATTCTAACTATTGATAACCCTGTTATTTTGGTTCGCAGTGTTATTAAGTTTTTGGACAGAAATTTTCTCTATATTTCGAAGGTTGAAGCCTTTTTAAATTTGATTTTGTCCCGAGCTTTAGCGAGGGACAAAATATAGTCTAAAAGGCGATTTAGAGAAAAATTAAGTCCAAAAACGTTATAGCAATTCGGGCCAAAATAATAGTTTTATAAGTAATTTTATGAAACATTTGTCTACTGATCTTATTTCAATGGCTGTTTCAAGATCAAATAAGCTTTGAAACAAAGCAAAATATAGAGTTGATTTTAATTTTATTTTCATTTCAATTGAAAAAAATATTTTTGAAATACCCTAATTTTTTTTGAGAAAATCCGGGAACCAATCACAACTTTATAGCACATGTACAGCTAATTTAACTTTATAGCACGATGATTACTTTATAGCACGTTTATTATGAAATTAACGATGTTAAAGTACACAATAGTTTCATAAAATATTAATAGTTTAACTGGTCCTCTTTTTTGTAACTAAATGTCCCTTTATATTCATATAAACCCCTAGGTACTGGTGTATAACCATTAACTAAAAATAAAATATAAAGATTAATTTTATCATCAAGTGAAATAAAATTAAATCGTCAAAAAAATAAAAAGGTTTTAATTGAAAGCCGCTTAATAAAGTATATTGTATAACATCTGAATTATTTTAATTCTTTTTAAAAAATGCCTCGTTAGAGAATTCATAATTTTTTATTTAATTGAGATCATGATTAATCCATCTTACATCAATTTAGTCATTAATTCAACATTGTTAAACTTTTTTGTGAATTCTAATTTAATTCAAATTCATTTTACTTCTCGTTCAAATTTAATCCATTTTTTCAACAAAGTTTATATAAAATATAAATTTTAGAATTCACACCAGAATGGCGGTTCTCCCTAAACCATCTGAGACAACCACCCAATGTTAAACGACAAGATTTGAAGGCACATGGTTCCAAACCTAGCTCAACTATTTGAAAGTACTAAAACAAAAAGTTATCAACTTAAAGGAATTATCCACGTATTTCCAAGGAACTCTAAAAAAATTAATATGTGGAGCTTAGCTGACGCCACCAAAACATTCATTCTTTACTCTTTCCAACCCACATTAATCTCAGTATAGAGAGATGATTCTTTGGTGTTCTGTCACCTTTGGCTGTCTATGTATATATAACTTTGTCTAATTCCCTATAAAAGTCGATTAGTTATTTCCAATGAACCAGCGTTTATACTCACCCTATGCTGAAAGAACTAAATTAATTTTCATGTGAAGTTTTAACTGGTGATAAATTCGGATAGAACGATAGATGTCGTCTTTTCAAGATTTAAGGGTTTTTCGTTCACATTAACCCAAGGAGTTCCGCGCAGGCAGCGTTGAATTACAAAGCAGGATTATTGTGAAAGAAACCCCTAAGTTAAAAAAAAAATATGTGTATTGTTATTATTTTAAGAATCAAATTATCTCATGTTACTAGCAATCATATTTACAGCAGTTATATCTGGAGTAATTTGGTTGTGATGAAAATTGATGTTTTATCAGAATAAAAACTGAAGTTTTAACGATCATTGTAACATAGGAAGTAAATGGGAGTTAAAAACCCCAAAAAAAACTAAATATATATTTGAAAATTCCTTAAAGAGTTTCTGATTTAGACTTCAGACAATCAATTTTCCGGAAAAACAATAGTTCATCTCAAATCTCAAATTTCTGATATTTCTAATACTTTTAAAATTGTAAATCCTTTTCAGTATTCTTGTTTCATACTTGAGGTAAATGAATAGTTTAAAACCTCCACAATTTTCAGAAAACAGAAACTTACATTACAATACAAAAAACTAATTTTAAAATATAAAAATCTCATCAAAAAAACAGTAAAAAAATTGAGTCTTTTCTGCCAACTCAAGTTCCTATATCTCATAGTAAACTAACTGATGTTAAAAACCTTTATTATTTTAAACTTTGATTTGATCTAACAGAATTTATAGTTTGAAATATGAAAGGTCTGCCACATTGGACTGCAAAGATTTTCTGGGAATAGAAAATCAGAGTTTGTGGCAAAACCCAATTTAAACAAAAAATGTAAACAAACTTTTTAACTTAAAAGTTTGTAAAACATATAATTAAAAAGCCAAAAACGTTAAAAAACAAAACAATTTTGCCTCAAAACATATAAAAACTGTCAACATAAATTCAAAGAATACAATTGTATTTATAGTTCTTGTTAAATGTTAAATAACATAAATTATTGTGCCCGTTAGCAGTATAAAAATCAAAATGTGTCAAATACTGAAAAAAAGCTAAAAAAAAGTTTGTTATATATTAATAAAGTCTTGACATTAAAATTAAAGTATCAACAAACCCGTCCATAACTCATAACCTAATAGTTGGAATGTAAATGTTACCGCCAAACAAAATCAAATTGAATGTTAATATATATTTACAGTTTAGTTTTTTAAAAACGCTTATAATTTTTTTTATTTTTTTCAATGAAAATATAGTGAACAAAGATAATTAAAACAAAAAAAATTTCATGACATTTTTTTTAATATAAAAACATATATTTTATCAAAAAGTTGTGTACTTCTTAAGTAACTCTGAATGACTACTTGTCAAATATGTCATCAAAATGAACAAAGAGAGTTCTTCAAACTCCTTCTAAAAAAGTTTAGTATTTGGTCAATATTGAATTATTGTTATTTGTTAAATATTGTGCATCTTTATATATTTGAGTAAACCCCCCCCCCCCCAAGTGGAAAAATAAATATATATAAATATATAGATAAATGTGATATATCAAACACACTTAATGATTACGCCTCTAGTTTTCATGTGAAATTTTGTGACTTGATTAAAGAATCATTTGGTTTGAAAAATGTCTTTAAGGAAACTTTTTAAATTCCAGTAAAATAAATTTCTTTACTTAAATAATTGTTAAGAAACGATCCAACTTTGTTTATATCACATTAAACTCATGTATATTTGAATCTGAACTGAAACAACCTCCACGGTTCTAGTTTGTACCGTCCCGCCCGGTACACCAACTGCACTGTGCAGATATATGGCAGGGGTCAACTCAATATAGGTGACCTTGCGCTGTAGGCAGTGCTATGCTGGTGCATTTGGTTGATGTGATCTGGTTAAATTTACATTTAACAATTTTGTGTAAAATCTTATGTATGTTTATTTAATCTACTGATGTTGTGAAAATATTTATGTTTAATGTACTAAATGTATAAATGTTGAGTATAAAGCTTTTAAACTTAGGAACTGAGTCTTGTAACAAACTCATGTTTTATTATCCCTCATATCTTTGTGACTAGATGGTGTCAACCTTTCATATTTTAAACTTTATATTAATAGAATTATATTTTAATAGAATTCATATTTTAAAATATTAGAGAGCTATGACATCGGATGGCAATGATATAAGGATAAAAATATCAGAATTTGTAGAAAGAACATCAGTTCCTTTATGATTTGTTTGCTAATTAAAAATGATACTTCAAATACAAGCTTTAAAACCTTCACAAAGAACAAAATATACAAAATATCAAATCTTTCTATATCTTTAAAAAATGATTTCTTTTTCTTCAAATTTCATAATTCTATTTGTCAAAATAATAATCTTTCATTGTTAAATATTGTTTGATTATAGATTTTATTTTTCTCAAATTTGAAACGTTTTATAAACGACAAAATTTGAAGTGACATAATTCAACAAAATTGTTATAAGAAAATTGGGTGTAGAAAATTATTGTTCTGCTAAACTGTGTACCTCTGTAAGTATATGTTAAAGTTGTAAAACATGTGCTTTGTAAAACTGTGCTGTGATTTGTTGTTAGAAAAATAAATTTTAAAAAGAAAGTTTGGAAAGTAATTTTTTTTTATAAATTTGAATTTTTAAATTTTTGTTCAATTTGTCAAATTTTTATATTAATTCAATTGTTAAAATAATCTATTTATAAAAAAAGTTTGTATTAGAGATTTAACCAGAATTGAAAACTATCAGTTTTAAGAAAGAAAACAATTCATAAGATTACATTTGCTGAGATACAGGTTTAAAGGTCACCTTGTGAATTGGTCAAAACTCTTCACATGAAGCATAGCACACTTAAAAGCCTTGTATTTTCTGTTCTATGCTGAATGGGATATTTAGTCAAAATGTTTAAAAACATGAGGTCTAATATCGGATTTCGTATGAAAGATTAAATATTTGGATACAGACAGCATTCTAGGCAGTTTATAGCTTTACTCATGGATGGAGTGGAAGTGTCTTTTGATGAATGATCTAACCTTTAGCGGGGTNTTTTAATTTGGGGAGGGAGGGGGTTGTGGGTTTTGTCGAAAATTAAGGATGATTTTTTAAATTAAATGGCCCGCAAAGATTTTGGGCTCTGTTCAAATAAGGAAAGACACAAAAAGCTGAAAAAAAATCCAACTGAACTAAATTAAAAATGTGAATAAAACTTATATAAATTAAGAAAGAAAGATGATGATAAATAGCAAGAAAGGATTTAAGTAGGACATAGAAGGGTCAGATACAAGCTTGCTCCTGCCCTTTAACTTTAAATAAGAATTGATATTTTCTTGACCAGTATTTTATCGAACATGTGCCACCGCCCACCATTTCTAGAGATAGAATTAAATATTGAAAATTCAGAAAATAAGAAAATATATCACAAAAGGTTTTCTTTTTTTGTAAATATAAATACAAATTTTGCCGATGATATTTTTGGTTGTTGGTGGATTTCTAACATTTCTGAAAAGACAAAATAGTAATTTGACATTTTTATATTCTGACCGGTCATAAAACCTACCCATCAACAACAGTTACTTCAAAAAAATTGGACCAAGCCAAATGTTAAAATAAACATTTATATTAATATTTATAGAAATATATGAAACATATATGATGAATAAACCCAAACTTCAGCTTCAACTCTTAATTCTATTACAACTTTTATATTTTTCTTTATAAAACTACAATTGATTTTAATCAATGCAATTAATTTTATATTGGGATATATAAATTTAGATCTACTAAGCTTTTAGATCTCTATCTGTTAGCAGTTTCTATCAGGCTGGATAGAAATAATGCAAGAAAGGTTCCAAATGGCTGATGCTGGTATGAGAGAGAAAGAGCTAGCATCACTACGTCGAAATGTTCAATACTACAAGCCAAAATTTGAAATTGGAGAGAGGGTCTGGGTTTTAGATCCAAAGATTATCCCTGGCAGCCACAGCCGTGATACGTTAAGATGAAATTGGGCTGGACCATACAAGATTATAAGAAAACAACTCTCCTGCCTAAGCAGAGGTAATGGAAGTGTACAAGAAGGGAAAACCTTGGCTGGTCAGCATAGATGTGTCGTGAGGTAATTGGTCTTAAGTTTGTTATAGTGAAAGTTATAAAGTTAAGCAGAAAATAATAATTTATCAAGAGTATAGTGATTAATTGCCTTTCATTGGGATTACAGGGTCTGCACCATAGGTAAACATAGAGCTAACCAGATTAGAATAACTAATTTGCTACATCTGGGTAATTTATATAAATGATTTGTATTGAAAGTGTGTGGTGTCATTGAACCAGAGTCAAATTCAGAAAGTATATTCTTCACATTGATTGCAGCAAACAAATACATAAAGTTTAAAAAAAGAAACTTAAATTGATGGTAAAGTGATGAGTTAAACATGGGATAAAGAAGAATAACAGAGACACCTAGTGGTAAAATATGGAACTTTAGAACTTCACAATACACAGTACACAAAACACAATACACAATACACAATATACAATACACAATACACAATACACAGTACACAGTACACAGTACACAATACACAATACACAATACACAATACACAGTACACAGTACACAGTACACAATACACAATACACAATACACAATACACAATACACAATACACAATACACAATACACAATACACAATACACAATACACAATACACAATACACAATACACATTACACAATACACAATACATAATACACAATACACAATACACAATACACAATACACAATACACAATTTACTTTACAAAGTATGCAATACACTTTACACAAACGTCAAAGAAGAACAGGCATCAAATGATTGCGGAGACAAGGGACCAGAATAATCTATTTACCATTCCATGTTTACAAAAGATGTGCATTCTATACCTTCTTAAGTAATATATAAGTATCATATTCGTTTTCTAAAAGTTCAAAACGAGTGGGTCGTTTTTAATAAGGATAGTTTTTTTTTCAAAAACAAAACTATTGAAAAACGAAACAAAAACAATTGTTTAACAATCATTTTAAAGAATGATAAACAAGCTCAGCCCTCCCCCCCCCCCTGGATTAGACATATCTATGATTTCTAGGTTACAAGAAATACAAGAAATTTTTGAAGAAAGTTGCAGTACTGCATCATCGGCAAAAAGAATTGTAAAAAATGTTGATGCTTTAGGAAGGTAATTGATAAGAATTAGAAACAAAATTGGTCCTAATATTGACCCTTGTGGTACATCACGTCCAGATCGTTTAACTGAATATTTAAAGTCGAAGAAAGGTCACAATTCTGGATAGTGTTTAACTGTATGTTTATTGTCGGGGTCACCAATATAGAGGATGTGAGAATCGTCAGTTTTGAAAAGCACGGATAACTTTTCCAGTATATATTTTCTTATAACTTTATTTAAATATCAAAAACAGAGATAACAAGATCTCAAGATCACACACGAGTTAGTTGAATTCAGAATGCCTCGCATTCTTGCCAACTCCATATACTATTGTAGAAATTGGTTATCGAGGTCAGGCATAATCTTCCACATTGTAATAATCAATTTAAAATTCGGTGATGGTGATGGACCAAACCTGTGTAGAGTAAAAAAGTAGATGTTAGTTCCACATTTTTTGAAAATATATTTCAGTCTGGGTTAACCCTCGTCAGTTCTAATGATATAATAACTATTAAAATCGTTAAAAAAAAAATAAAATTTTTTTTTGTTGAAACTCACAAGAAAATAAACAAACAAAAAAGATTATTCAAAATAAAAGTTTGGGCTGTCAAATGGACATGAGGGAAATGAACTCAGATTATGA